GTATACTCTAATGTTTGTATACAATACCGGCCAAAATTAAGAATAACTACAAAAGAGTGGAACATTAGGCCTGGACGATCAGGGCTTAATGACTTTCTTGACTTAATGTTAACGTGAAGCTTTCACAAGAATGAGTTCCAGCTCGGATGATATCCGTCAAATGAAGGACGGAGGCTTAGGCCATTTTTACCCAAAACAAAAGAGGATGTCTCGTAGACTGCGTCCACCTGAAAGTCATAGTAACGTGAATCAGTCATTGTCTTCCAGTGAGATTGACCAATGAATATCTTTATCCTGCACTTTCATATGAAATGAAATTCTCCACAACAAACGAAAAACCAACAAATTAGTTAAAATTTGAGAGGTTGCCTCGAAATGCGTGCAGGTGCTTAGAATTCATGTTTGCTTTCTGAATTCCAATGAACAACCGAATATATATAAACAGTATACTATATGGTATTGTATATGAAAACTCTCTCAGAATGCGACCAGGCCTAAGGCCAATAAAGCGTTAAACTTGTTTACAACTCACCGCATTCACTCAAGTCTTTGGCCATATCTGGTGGCAACCTGAAGGGAGCAAAGTCTCTGTCTTCTAACGGGCCACCAGGCTCAAGGCAGGTTTCAGGAAGGGCAAATTCAGAGTATGAGGGCTCCTTTAGAAAATGAAATCGAATGAATAATGCAGGCAAAACATAATTAACATGTGAATCTAGTGTATAAAAGGAAATAATTACATTGTAGACCATCAATGAGCAAAAAAAACAAACACTTGCAGCTACAATTGTAGATAGTGAATGTTTCAGAAAAGACTAGCCCGCAAACTAAACTGGCCTAGGTTCAACCCCAGGATGTATATGATAAGAAAGATGGAAATGGCGAAAGTAGATGGCAGAAAGCGAGAATGATGATACTAATAGTAGTGGTGGTGATAGTAGCAAGATAGTATCTAAACCAGAAATTAATTTCATCAAAAAAAATGCCAAGTGTAGGAAGGTCTAATAATATTGCATCAAAAATCTCTTAATGAATAAGGGAAATTATGTATTCTCCAAATGTGTGTTTCCTAGGGTGATTCATTGCCTGAGTCGGGTACCTACCCGACTTATTAGAGACAAGCCAAGCTTGCATCCTTCTGTGAAGAAACCTCTAGATCCTTATTTGACCGTACAGATGACGGAAAATTGTTTTAGGCATATATTTGCCTAATAAATGTCTGATTTTAACAATTTCCGTAAAGGTTCATTTTTCTAGGAAAACAACAAGAATTATTTATAATCATTAAGTCAAGCGCAATGACAAGGCGATATGTGGCGACCACCAAATAAGCAAAAGACCATGTAGGAAAGGCCTTGAAACAGCTTCTTCTGGTCAAATTTTAAGTTTAATTATAGGATACTCTGTTGCACAAACTAATGATATAAGACGAAAAAGTGGGCCCCTAAAGCAAGAAAGCTTCTTTAGGGCATAGCACACATGATGATCCAATTTGGCAAAAATGGATTTTAGGCTAAAAACGTCTGGAAGGGATTAGGTGGAATATACTGTTAATAGACCAGACTACGATTAAATATTTAGTAAAAATTATGAAATGAACAATATTTAGATAAGAGTGTTTTTGGCATACTTTCACTTTTTAACAACGGACTAGGTCCCCTTAAATCGAGTAATTATATAAATTATCGCACAAAACGATATTATCCAATGTTACGAATGCTAACCAAGTGAGCCCTGATCGTAGACTCGACTAGTCATGGAGCCAGTGATAAGAAAGTCGAACTAAAATTGGAGGCCCAGTCTTTGGAAAAGAATCGCTCTGAGTGAAAGCTGCTGATGTGACAGCATAGCACGTCTCATTGAAACTGTTTATTAAAAAAATACAACCCATAATCAGACTAAGATGTTGTGGCCTTTTCTTTGATGACATTCTCCTTTGGCAGTATTGCCTTAATTTGACCTCGTTTTCATAAATTGGTCTTAACTGCAAGAAGACATTGTGGAATGTACCTGGTCCTGCCTCCTCTGTCATATTATTCATGATGATTTCCAGCAACGAACCGTTAACTTGGTACATTTCCAGACAATTCGCCGGCATCATCAGTGAGAGGCGCCACCTTAAGCACGGATTTACAACTTATCAAAGTGACGAGTGGCCAATTTTCCGTTCAACCATTGTGGCATTACTCTTCTCCAATTCGCGTGTCCTTTCTTCTAGTGCTGCATCTCTTTCTCTCAACCCCAATCCATATGACCCATCTGTCTATTCACAAAATTCTGTGCTCTCGTTTCCTCCACTTTTACCTAGGAGTGTGCCGCCACAAGTGGGTTTAGTGGAGCATAATCGTCTTCACGACCGATTTTAGATACCATTCGCCGGACGATGGGGGAGCTAAATGAAAGTCAGATAACATGACCCAGAAGCTCCGTGATTACACTTTACTAAATCAACTTAGGTGACTTTGGAGGAAAAGAAAGCAAGGAATGATGTGGGGGATGTATACAGTCAACGGTCCGATGGTAAAAATCATCCTGAATACTGACAGAGCATTTAGGACGAGACATGTTTCACGAAATCTCCCTGTCGCTCTGGCCAAGTTGCGAAACGAGGTCAAATAAGTACAAAGCCTTATAGTGTTCTTGAAGTCGAACCGCTATCAACTTTTTGGTACATGCTTCAAAAGCAAAATAGATATGTATAACATCTATAAAAAGCATGCATGTTTATTCCATCGAAGATCACCTTGACCAGGTTGGTGATGACTTGACAGATTGCTGCAACTGAATCGGTGCACTCTGCCGGTACAAGCAGCTCAAGAACGAAGGGCCACAGAACATGGCGCATCGGACCAACCGTGGTTGCTGCCAGTTGAAGGATGCGGTCGCAGAGACGCGGTATCTGAGTCTCCTGGATAAAGCATAAAAGAATAGGAAGATTTTACTTACATACACTTGGCTACACAGTCACATAGTTAATTAAGCGGTTGAGCAAATAAAATCACCCTTCTGCGAAAAGAGCCGACACCGACTGACCGAACTGATAAATCAGTAATAATCGTAGAAGCGGATAAAGTTGTTGCACGCTTAGCAACGAGAAAATATATGAAATATGTTAACCCTAATCGTAGTTGAATTTTCCAACAATGATATGAGTAGACCTTACATTTCCATTTAATTTCGAATAGCATTGCTTTCCCAAAAGGTATTCTCATCCAGGCAGGAATGGATCCAGCCACACCATCTTGGTCTTCATACCTTCGATAAGAAAACTTATATTTGATACAGCAATCGAAGACATTAGTTATTTTTCGATGCTGAGTAGGCTTTAGAAATTACCAGCAAATCAGATATATGAAACTCGTTGATTATATTTCGTATGAGGTGATGAAGGTGGAGAAGACGACACTTTTCAACAGTCTGCCGACGCAACACGAGCAGAAGGACAAACTGGATTACTCGGGAGCTTATCGCATCAAATGCGGTAACTGTGCACAGAAGTATACCGGTGAAAGATGAATAAAAATCAGCCCACGAATCAAGGAACACCAAAGACTCTGCAGAAGCATGGACACTGAAAGATCCGAAATAGCGGAACATGTCGTACGAACGGGACACGAAATCGGATGTAAAACGACCAGAAGGCTGGCTGCATGTGGTGAAAATACGAGAAAACGCAAGATCCGAGAGAAATCCAATGAACAGGAGACTTGAAGAAGGCAGGATCAGCGAAAACTTTGCATATTGCCTGAACCAAACTCGGAGAAGACCAGGCAACAGTTAGATCAGCAAAAGAAGACGATTGGATCAAGTTAATATCCTTAATTTTAGGAAAAGAGATCGCAAGGGGATGAGAAAGGAGCAATCAGAAGAAAAGAGGAGACGTCTTTAGTGAGCCTAATCGAAATATTTGTGGGTTGGCACACAAAAGACTATGAAGTATGAAGTGATAGGCATGTTGTTATGGATAAAAACAGGATAGATGCGGTGGAGACTAGTTGATAGACGTGGTCTATGAAGCACGTCTATTATTAGCCAACTAGCTCTAGTCTCCGCCATGTCTATCCTGTTTATATCCGTAATGACTTCATATACCCTAATCTCTTGTGTGCCAACCCACAAATGTTGTAGTTCTACTTGCTTTGATTAGGTTCAATGTAGAACCACAACATTTGTGGGTTGACACACAAGAGATTAGGGCATATGAAGTCATTACGGATAGAAACAGGATAGACACGGCGGAGACTAGAGCTAGTTGGCTAATAATACACATGCTTCATAGACCACGCCTATTAACTAGTCTCCACCGCATCTATCCTGTTTTTATCCATAACAACACGTCTATCACTTCCTAGTTCCTAATCTCTTGTATGCCAATCCACAAATTTTGTGGTTCTACTTGCTTTGATTAGGTTCAATGCTAGAGCATAGACAGTCATTGTCATGACAATACGGATAGAAGTAGGATGGATGCGATGGGGACTAGAGAAGGTTGTATAACAGTAGAGGTGTTTGATCATATACGTGGTCCATGAAGCAAACGCTTTATCGTGAGAATTTATCAAGGGCTTTGGTCTCATGTTAGTCTCTCAGAGGCAGAGCGTGAGAAATAATGCCTCGAGTAGCCCAGATGAGGTGTGAGGGGTCGAGTGAAATACTTGAACCAGGAACCCGGATCCTACGGGGCAAGAGGGAGACTATGATAACACCTATGGGAGGAGTACGGCCTAACAGTGTGGCAGACTCTGATCCACATTCCCAGCACAAGAGTGAAGTGGGGTGAGAAAGCCAACGTGGAGTGTGGAGAGTTCTTAAGAAAGCCGCTCAAAAGAGCACATCATACCATATTGAGATAAGAAAGTAACAATTGTGATAGTGAAAACGTGATACGAGGATATAGTAAATGTGAATAGCCAAGAACGGAAGGAGAGACAATTTGTCAAAAGAACCGGCTTCACTTATTTCTTTGAGGAATTATAATTTGGTGCCGAGAATGGCAAGGCTCAGTGACGATGCCACCGTCTACGGTCCGACTCTGGTAATGATTATGCATACTATGGACTCCGGGCAAGGTGCGTTTCTCCAGGTTACAGCAAGTTGCGAAAACAAGGTAAAACTATTTTTATAGCTTAGTTAGTTTCCTATTTTTACTTAACCAACATGAAAGAAATATCAAATTCATTATATGAGATGTATTCACTCTTAATTTATAATTATAGCTTTTTGATGTTCTACTCTTGCCGCAACTTTTTATTTTCAAGAACTTTCTTCCAAAGAGAACTAGTGAGGAAGTGGGAGATAAGGACAGTTTTCGAAGAATCTCTGACAATTTCTACGGTTATACCTTCTTTTAGAGAGAACTATGACCCACTATCAAGATTAGGCAGTTATAAGATTGTGTTCCTGTGGTCGACTTTATGTTAGCGAGTCCTTTTGTCCGATCCTCCAAAGATTAGCGGCATAAAAATGCTTGTTGAGCTTACTTCCATTTCGAGTGGAAGTGTTGCGTGAAGAGATTCGAGGGTTGGTTCCACCAAAAGACAACGGCGGATTCCTCTTTACCAGCTGTCGATTGACTTTACTGGAACATTCATGCTGACGTTGTTTCCAAGGCAATTTCCTTCGATTCCGGTGAAAACGTGCTAAGCTTTCGTCCGTCATATGACGCACATCATCAGAGCAAGGTAACATCGTCACAACAAAATTCAAGCCAACGAGTCAAGAAAGCTTAGCACCTTTTCACCGGAATCGAAGGCGATTGCCTCGGAAACAGCGTCAGCATGAATGTTCCAGTAAAGCCAATCAACAGCTGATCAAAAGGAATCGGCCGTCGTCTTTTGGTGGAACCGACTTTCGAATCTCTTCACGCAAAACACTTCTACTCAAAATGGAAGAAAGCTCAACAATTATGAAACAAGAGATTCCTCGAAACCCAAATTTTTCTTCGTGTAAACAAATGCTGGTAAAGGCAGCTGGTTCGAACGATCAGAAGTGGCTGAACACAGGACCGAGACTGGGCATGCGATAGAATGGTCTTGTACGCAGACGTTTGCTGATTATCGTATGTCTGCTAAGAAACACTTGGGCCATTAACACTTAACACTGAGTGATGGTTCCAATCAAGTCAACACTCGTTCAACAAACATGTCAACCTCATCAGCAAAAAGAGACGTGCCGGGCTACGCAATCCCAGGCAAGCTTCTCCTTGGCTCATGAAACCTTAGTAACTCAGACTAACATGTTCGGATTTGTGGTTTCGTAACCTGAATTTCACGTGTACAGACTTACATCTCATCAATATAGCCAGGGTTACTTACAGACCAACGCAATCTTGGTCAGCCTTTTTTCCTTGGCTCATTAGGCCTCGATGACACGGAGCTGATATTAAGCTTTTTTCTAATTACTCCGATTTCGCGTACAGACGTTAGCATACATACACATAAACACACCATAGTATACGGGCATTAACCAAACTTTTCTATATCCATTTATATCTTAAACTTTTCTCTCAATAAGCATCTATATCACACAGCAAAAAGCCGGTTAGTATTCTTGACTTAACGGTAACTTCAAGCTCTGACGATGTTCATCATGTGGTATGATGAACAAAGGCTCATTGCGTTTTGGCCCGAAACGTTGGAGGACGTCAACCTGAGCGCGTTATTAAAGCCAAACGGCTGCAGTACGATGCGAATCAATCGACGTCTTCTGTTGAGATCCTCTACTTCCATACGAAATGAAAGTCTTCACATCAATACTATATAACAGATAATGTATTTATATAATATAGTAATAATACAGAAAAATACCACGTATATATATAAATATATATATATATATATATAATCACGTATATATACATATATACTAAAAAGTATATATATATAAATATAAATATAAATATATACACTTTATATATATATATATATATTTATATATATATACTTTTATAAGCTAGACATTTTTATCTGAGGATAATTAATTAATCAAATATATATATATACTATAAAGTATATATATAAAAGTATATAAAAGTATATATATAAATAAATATAAATATATACACTT